TTATAACAATTCCTAACCCCGATCGAAAAGTTAACAAAATTGCCCTCAGGCCCACGCGCCCGGATTCCAAAATTTTTCGAAGATAAGGTTTACCCATAACCTCACGAACTCAAAAATATAATTTACTCTTAATTTCATATACAAAACCGTGGACAAAATCCAAGAATACTAATTTATTAGGTTTCCCCCTCAAACCCCAACTTTCTACCAATTTCTATACTTTAATCCGCAATAAAACCATGTATTTAACTTATAAGAGGTGGGATTAACTTACCTCATGATTAATGGTGAAATATCTCTCTTCAAAGGCTCGAAAATCGCCCAAACCAACTGAAAAATGAGAGAAAATGAACCAATCTCGTTCTTTAAAGAACACTGCCCAGCCCGACCTCTCGCACCTGTGGTCTCCTAGCCGCTTCTGCAGTTCCACAGGTGCGTCTCCCCAACCGCTTCTGCAGTCCTTCGCCAGGCTGCCCCTCTCCGCTTCTGCGCTCCTTCTTCCGCAGGTGCGGTCCCGCTTCTACGGTGACCTGACCGCATTTGCGGTCCCAGCCTTCACCCTTCACCACCGCATCTGCGCCCCTTTGGCCGCTTTTGCGGCTCCGCACCTGCAGCCAAAACCTTGCAGGTGCGGTTACACCAGATATCAGTTGCTTCAGCTATTCTTCCCAACTTTAATTCAATCCGTTAATCACCCGGAATCCACCCGAGTCCCCCGGGACCCCAGCCAATTATGCCAACCAGTCCCAAAACATAATGCGGACAGGCTCGAGGCCTCAAATAATTCATGAATCATGCCCCAATCCAGACTTTATGAACTTTAGAACTTCAAACTTCTACATTCGATGCCAAAACCTATCAAATCATGTCCGATTGACCCCAAATTTTGCACACAAGTCATATTTGACATTACGAACCTGCTCCAACTTCGGAAATTGGAATCCGACCTTGATATCGAAAATTCCACTTCCGGACAATCTTCTCAAAAATCTTTAAATTTCTATCTTTAGCCAAATGACTCCAATATGACCCACGGACCTCCGAATTCACTTTCGATCGTACTACCAATACCAAAATCCCATTACGGAGCTATTCCGAGACTCAGAAGCCCATACAAACATTGATAACAGTGAAATGCACTTCAACCCAAACTTATGGAATTCCTCCAAAATGCTAACTTCCACAATAGGTGCCGAAACGTCCCCGGGTCTTACGAAACCTGATCCGGACATAAGCCCAAGTACTAAATCATCATACGAACCTGCTGGAACATTCGAATCCCGATTCCGAGGTCGTTTACTCAAAAATCTAATCTTAGTCAATTCTTTCAACTTTAAGCTTCCGAAATGAGAATTCTCTTTCCACATCAACTCTGAACTTCTCGGAATTCAATTTCGACCATGCGTACAATTCATAATACCTGACGTGAAGCTACTCAGAGCCTCAAAGCGCTGAACGACGCCCTAGAGCTCCAAACTACCGTTCGGGTCGTTACAGAGATGGCTTATGTTAGCGCTTGGGCTGTAGGAGCCCCTCCGGAGTCTGTATACCCCCGTGAGCGCGGGTACCCAGTGTGTGTGATGTGATATTGCCCGAGGAGATGTTGTTGTTTCATGTTGTTGCCCGAGGGGCTGGTACAAGTGATTCTCAGGTAGCCCGAGGGGGCTGCTTTTGTAGATATTATGTCCGAGGGACGGTTTATGGTACTTGTTTCACCCAAGGGGCTGTTTACGTTTCTATCCTTTTTCTCACTGTTTTCATCACTCGTTTGAAACTATTGAAAAATGTTTTAAAAGGTTTTACTGAACTGGGTTGTCTATTTATGAGTTTTATTATTTTACTGCATTGTTTTGGACTCATACTGTTTGCTATAGCATTATGACGTGGTTTACATGTTTTCTTACTACTCAGCTACTTTTACTTTATTCCTTACTGAATTGACGTACTCACATTACTCCCTGCACCTTGTGTACAGATCCAGGAGCCTCGGATCGCGGTTGTGAGTGCTGATTTGCTTTCCAGCGGATCCTCGGAGTTGACTAGGTAGTTGCTTGGCGTTCGCAGTCCAGTGCTTCTCCTTCCTATCTTATTTAGCCTTGTATTAGCATTGCTTCCAGACTATGTTGACTTTTCTTACTCCTAGACGCGATGTAGATGCTCATGACTGGTGACGCCCCGATGTCGGGCTGTGTTATGTTTCCGCATTGTCTATTTTGACTTATATTATGGAATTTTTAGCTAATTAATGACTTTAAATGACTTGTTACGAATTTCTGGTTGGTTTGGGGTTTGTGTTGGCTGACCTAGTTTTACGACAGACGTCATCACGACCAGATCTGTTTTAGGGTCGTGACAAAAACATAAACTAAAATTTGAGAAATTTTTTATGCACAAATATGCCAAACGCTCCAATCATTAGTCATCTAGGATATGAAACAGAGGATTTCACTTTCTTACAAAATAATTATATCATCATACAATATCAATTATACCTTGTAAGACCTAGTCAATAAAATCCTACACCTCTATTATTGAATTTATAATACAACAACATGTCTATTTACTAATAGCCAATGCGTAAACCTATTATATCACAAGTATTTAATTATGGAGACCTTAGGGAGTCACCCGCACCACCATTGAATTAAAAACGAATTAAAATTATTAAAAAATATTTTCCAGAAAGTAGAAAAACGTCCAAAACATAGTCCAAACGGCCTCAAAACGCCGAAAAACACCATGACTTACTGCTAAAGCGATGAGTTTTTCTCACCACGTTGTTCTCGATGGACCCACCAATTTTTAGCGCAATCAGAGTCCGTCAAGTTTGCTGACCTCCGAGAATACCGGCAATTCGGTCAAAATCAAGTTTTGCGTTTTTCTAGGGTTTACCAAAAAAATATCCAGATTATCCCAATCAAATATCAATAAAAAAACAGATATCTCATGATTACAAGAATAATCCAAATTTTTTGCACAGTTAATTCACAAAATAGCAGTGCAGTTTTTCAGAAAACCACATATACATGTAATTAAAAAACGCACATAAACACGATATTCTTGTTTCATGAAAAATATGTTATCTAATTAGATGTGAGTGGGCTCTGATACCAATTGATAGATTATAATAAGCAGCGGAAGCAATCCCATTCAAAATCACATGTAATCTAGACAACTAGCATAAAAGGGATTTCACGGGTTACCTCTTGAAGCGTGAAAAAAGCTCCTTTATCACGTGAGCCTCCAATTTCACAGCAACTCAATGAATTCTCCACCACTCGCACGATCACGATCTCCGAACGTTCCACGGTCTTCTACTGTGTTACCCAAATCATACCCGGAAAACAGGAATTTCGTGTGGGCGAAATTTCTAGGAAAATATGACTGAAAATTTTGGCCACCATGTACTACTCCCTCTAGGTGGAAAATCTTATGTATTTATAGCACAAGTTTTAAGGATTAAAACTCTTTTCCAAAACCTGTTGGGTTTTCTTTTCCACCAGAAAAGGATTCCTTTATTTCCTATTATTTAGGCATAGTAGGGACCATTTAATTAACAAGGCTCCAATTATGGAATTAATTTCTAATTTTTGAAATTAATATCTACAATAGTTAATTATGAATTATTCCACTAAAAATTCGTAATTGCACTCCTTATTCAATTTCGAAATTCATCCATTACATCTTATTTAACTCCCCATGTTAAGATTCAGATACTAATCAATTAAATTAAATTACTGACGATTTAATTTATTGATTATTTCCTTTAACTTTCGCTTAACTTATTTCATGTGCCGGATACAAAATCCACCGGCCGGGTTTACACATGAAAACTTATAAGCTTCATAAAGGTGTATCATCAATATCTAAATCGAGACATGGATTCCATCAACTAACTATTACTTTGCCAATGTACATTATTATTATACAATTTACCAGGCATATTGATCCACGAAAGAATTTTGCCTTTTAATAAATCAAAACAAAAATAATGTACACAGCTAATAACAATTATATCAAGATTAAGAGTATAAATACATTTAATGGCTAGAGAGTTTATTTTATTAAGTTATTATAAAATACTTATCTCTACTTGGTCTGTTCAATACATACAAAATGTACTAGCACAAGAAGTTGGAATTAAACCATTGCCATAATCAAGATTAATTATATTTAATCTTGTGCTACAATCATCCATGATGGTTTGTCCAATTCCATCGTTAGATTGTGAACTCAAACTTTATACTTATAAGAACCGATGATTTAGTCTTCCGTGTATAAGCTAAACTCTATATACTAAATCATCTACTATATACGCAAAGGACAAAGACTAATATATAATCTATTTAAAACTTTATTAAAATTGAATAAATAATTATTCCATAATAAATACTATATGTAAACCAAATCCATGGTTAATAATATATATCTCAACAATTTCATGGGTGGTCATTCAACTTCGTGTTTTGGGTAATGAACACAAAGTTAAATGATTTTTACGGTGTAGAATCCTCCCGCCCATCTTTCTGATTTGTTATATGGTGTCACCCACAGTTGATACATTGTATATACTGCTCGAAGTTGAGGGCAGTCATCGTACGATAGCAAAGACATGGCTGATCGACTAGGTGTTAATCGACAAGATACATCATTTCCAATCTTTTTGTTTTCTTATTTGGATTTACAATCAACAATTCAGCTGGTTCAAGTCCCATTTGTGTCTTACCATCAAAGTGTCTTTTGGGTAATGAACATAAAATTGAATGACTTTTACGTAACAAAATATGAAAAATAACTTTTGGATAATAAACACAAAGTTGAATGACCACCCATAAAATTTACTCCAAATACTTTTTTTCAACTTCAACCTTTATTAAGTTCTCATTATTTTCAAATTTCAACCAATAAAAACAAACAGGAGCTAGCTTCCAACATTGAGTTGCAAGTTTAGTCTTTTTCTCTCTCTCTAGAATGAACTTTTCTCTCAGCCATAGCTGAAAATGACGAGGAAATCGAAGACTAGAGGGGAAGGGTTGAACATGCAGGAGACAAATCTAAGTAATGTGATCGAAACAAGGGGAATTCTGCAATCAACTGATGCTAAGAAAACTCGAAGCCTCAATGTACTGCAAGGAATACAGCCATTAGACCTGAGCCAATCGCCTACCAACGGAACAGTAGCTAGAAACAATGGGGGCAAGAAACAGGATGAGAAACGCAATTCATGGGCAGATAAGGAGGAGGAAGAAGCGGAAAAGCTAAAGGTTGCAGGGGAAACAAGCCCTAAGTCATGGAGCAAAATTGTAGCCAGTCCAATTTATGAAGGATTGGACCTAACTCCTCAACACCAGAATAGCTCGAATGTGAAGATTACTATGGAGGATATAAAGGAGGAAATCGATTACTGGAGCACAGCAATGGTATGTTTTGTACTGGGTTCTAATCCTCCCCAGTCAGTGATGGAAGGGTATTTCCAAAGGATCTGGGGATCGTTGGGAATTGACATTGTAGCACAGGCTAATAGAGGTGTGTTTGTGGTGAGATTCCATAGCTGTGAAAGCAAAATCAAAGTGATCAAAGATGGAGTCCAGATGTTCGACAGAAAGCCAGTGGTGGTAAAACCTTGGAATCCTGATATAGACTTGAAAAAAGAATCAGTAGACTTGATCCCAATGTGGATTAGGTTTATTGGATTGGATATTAAATATTGGGGGCAAGCTGCACTCACAAAATTGGCAGGGCTAGTAGGAAAACCATTGAAGGCTGATCGTGCTACAACACAGAAGGAGAGGCTGACTTTTGCAAGAGTTTTGGTGGAGGTTAAACCTCACCAGAGTTATCCTAACACTATCATGTTTGAGGATGAAAAATGCAGAATAGTGGAGCAGGAGGTTTTCTATGAACGGAAGCCAACTTTGTGTGTGAAATGCAAGAATTTTGGGCATGAAATGAATAAATGCAGGAGATTCATCAAAGAGGAGAAAGAGAAACAAACTAGCAAGAAGACTGGTAATGAACCAAGCATAGAGGATCAGCAACAAAAGGAAAAGCAGGAGGGTAAGGAGCAATGCAAAAATGTGCAGGTAGCACAACAGGAGCAGGGGCAGATAGCTAGAAGCAATAAGGAGAATGAAGGAGCCACAAAAACAAATGATGTGGCAACAACATCAAGGAGTTGGCAGAATATAGTGAGAGGGAAAATATGGGAAAGGAAGCAACAAGGGGACATAAGAACAGGGAATCCCTTTGCCACATTAGGTGAACAACAACAGGAGAACACAGAAGAAAACAGCAGGAAGGGGGAGGAGATTATAACAGAAAAAAGAAAAGGGAGTGAGATGGCCCTGGGAAAAGGGCAGGATGGGGGCAACCCCTCATCCAATGGATAGAATAGGTTTTTGGAATTCTAGGGGACTGAACAGGCCACATAAGCAGACAGAAATGAATCTGTTTATGAACAACCAAAAAGTTGGGCTGTTTGGTCTCCTGGAAACTAAGATTAAGAGAGCAAAAGCACAGCAAGCTGCTCTTAATCTATGTGGAGGGTGGTCATTTACTACTAACTTAGTAAAACATCCAACAGGCAGGATTTGGGTTGTATGGAAACCAGGTGTGTATGATGTTAACATCACAAATGTTACTGAACAACTTATTCATAGTATGGTTACTCACAAAGGGACAGGTAACAAGTTCAATGTTACCATAGTGTATGGGTTCAACAACCAAAGCATGAGAAAGCAAATGTGGGAGGATATTAGAAGTATACACCAGCAGAATAGGGGTCCCTGGGCTATTATGGGGGATTTCAACTGTATACTGAGTACTGAAGAAAGAATAGGAAGCAGGGTGACACTAGCAGAAATCACAGATTTTAGGAAATGTATGGAGGATTGTTCTATGCAGGATATGAGATCTTCAGGTGCATTCTATACATGGAGCAATAAGCAAGCAGGGGGAGATAGAGTAATGAGCAGGATTGACAGAGTCCTCACAAACTATGAATGGCAGACTCAACTGCCAGCATCTGAGGTACACTACTTACAACCAGGACTATTTGATCATTCACCAGGTTTAATAAACTGGGATGGAGGGGGACAGCAGAGTAAGAGAAGATATAAGTACTTCAACATGTGGAGTATGGCATGGGATTTTAAAGAAAGAATAAAAGCAAATTGGAACACTGATAGGGGGGGGTACAAAGATGTACCAACTGGTGGGGAAAATGCATAGAATCAAGAGCACATTGATGAAAATCAACAAGGAGAGATTCAGTAATATTGAACAAAGGGCAGAGGAAGCATTGAATAGGCTGCAGCAATGTCAAAGTCAGGTGCAGCAGGACCCTAGGAATGAAGCCTTGATAAATGAAGAACTAATGCTAAATAAGGAAAGCAGCAAATGGGCAAAGGCAAGACTCATGTTCTTGCAGCAGAAGGCTAAGGCACACTGGCTCAACCAGGTGATTAGAACACCAAGTACTTTCATGGTATTCTGAAAGCCAGGAGGAACAGCAACAGAATATTCCACATAAAGGATATGAAGGGACATGATATTGATGATCCAGCAAAGATCCCAGAGGCATTTATAGAATTCTACACAGAATTACTTGGGAAGAGTGTGGAGGATAGAGATCATGTTAATAGTCAAATTATCACACAAGGTCCAATTGTGCAAGAGGAGCAGAGAACTGAATTAAATGCAGCATTCAGTGATAAAGAGGTGAGGGATGCCATATGGGCAATTGCAGGTGACAAAGCACCAGGTTCAGATGGATTTGGCAGCCAATTTTACAAAGATTGCTGGGAAGTAGTAGGTTCAGATGTAAAAGAGGGAGTGCTGGAATTTTTCAAAGAAGGCAAGATGCTCAAAGCCATCAACAACACTATGATTACTCTCATACCAAAAAGCCCTCATGCTGAAGCAGTTGGAGATTACAGACCTATAGCTTGTTGCAACACAATCTATAAGGTGATTTCAAAAATGCTATGCAATAGGCTCAGGAAAGTCCTACCTGGGCTTATATCCCCTAATCAAAGTGCCTTTGTAGAAGGCAGGAGTATTGTTCATAACATATTGATCTGCCAAGACTTGGTGAGATTGTACAAAAGGAAGAATACAACCAAGAGCTGTTTAATCAAAGTAGACCTAAGAAAGGCATATGATACTGTGGAGTGGGGGTTTGTGGAAGAAATGATGCATTCATTGAATTTCCCTCATAAGTTTATAAAGTGGATAATGGCTTGCATCACAACTACACAGTACACAATTGCAGTCAATGGAGATGTGCATGGAAGTATCAAGGGCAAAAGAGGATTGAGGCAAGGGGACCCTGTTTCACCCTTACTATTTGTCATATGTATGGAATATCTCTCAAGAATAATGAAGTGGATTGCTGAGCAGAAAGGATTTCAATTCCACACCAAATGTAGAGGACTCAAACTCAACCACTTATGTTTTGCAGATGATGTGCTTTTCTTCTGCAAAAGGGAATGGAAATCAGTGGAATTGATCTTGAGAGGGTTGGAAACATTTTCAAGAGCATCAGGCCTACATACTAGTGCAGCAAAATCATATATCTATAGTGCAAATATGGAGGAGGAATGCACTCAGGATATCTGTGAGCTCACTGGCTACCAGAGGGGGGACCTTCCATTTAAATACTTGGGAGTACCAATCTCAACCAGGAAGCTTTCAGCTACAGATTGTGAAATGCTAGTGGAGAAGATGGCTAACAGAGTGAGAACCTGGAGTTCAAGAAACATTTCCTATGCTGGCAGAGTAATGCTTGTCAACTCAGTATTGACGCATATCCACTCTTAATGGGCTTCAATATTCATCCTTCCCAAGAAGGTACTTAAAAGTATAACAAGTATCTGCAGAAGCTTCCTGTGGGATGGGAAAGGGAATTCAACAAAAATGGCACTTGTATCATGGGACACAGTATGTAAACCAAAGCAATAGGGTGGTTTGGGGATAAAAGATTGTATGGCATGGAATGAAGCAGCAATGGTGAAATATGTTTGGAGCATAGCAAATAAAGAGGATAACCTATGGGTGAAATGGGTGAATCATGTATACATAAAAGAGCAGGATTGGTGGCAGTATGTTCCACCAGTGGATAGCTGTTGGTATTGGAAGAAAGTATGTGCATGTAGAGACAAATTTGCTGCTGGTTTTGTCAACAATGGCTGGCTTAAACAGGGGGACAAATATACAATACAAAGTGGATACCAATGGTACAAAGGTGAAGTAGAGATTAAGCCATGGTATC